AGCGTCCCCCCAGCCCGGGGTCACCCCGGGGCCCCCCAAGCCCCAGCCCCGGCCCCGCTCTTGTCCCCTTCCCCCGGGGCACCCCAGCACCCCGGCCTCCTGCCCACCCCAGGGGGGCACCCAGGCGCCCCGCACCCCACGCTGGGCTCTCCCCACCCCAGCCCGGCTCTGCCAGCCTGGGGCTTTAGGGGGGACAAAGCTGGGAAAAGGCTAAAATAATCCTGGGGCGCGTGGGCACCCCCGGGGCCTGTGGGAGGTGTCCCTCGCGCCCGCTCTCCCCTCTGCCCGGCACTGCCTGTGCCCGCTCTCCCTCCTGCCTGCCGTCGCTTGTGCCCGCTCTCCCCGTGCCCGCCATCGCTCACGCCTGGCAGTGCTCTCGCCCCGCATCTCACTTGCCCGGTGCACATCGTCGCTAGCACCCCAAGAGCACTCGTGCCCCAAGGACGACGTCCCTCGGGCCCAGCATCACCTGTGCCTGGCACCCCTTGCGCCCGCTGTCCCTCGTGCCCGCCGTCGCTCACGCCTGGCAGCTCTTGTGCCTGGCGGTGCTCCTGCCCGGCCTCTCTCCTGCCCGCGGCTCCGCTTTCCGCTGGGACGGAGTTGGGGTTCTGCCTAGGAGCTGGCCTCGGGCCGTGCTTTGGCTTCAGGGTGAGCAGAACGGTGGCACCCCCTGAGGTGGGAGCTGTGGCTAAGCAGCGCTTCCACTGCTCGAGGCCTTTCCAGCTCCCCCTGCCCCGCCAGCGAGGAGCTGGGAGGGGGCACAGCCAGGCCAGCTGACCCAGCCTGGCCCAAGGGCTGCTCCATGCCCTGTGACGTCATGCCCAGTATAGAAACTGGGGGGAGTTGGCTGGGGGGTGATCGCTGCTGGGAGCTGGCTGGGCATCGCTCGGCGGGCGGTCAGCAATTGCACTGTGTTGTACATTCTCTTGTCATTATTGCTATTATTATTGCCATCATTATCACTATGATTTCCCCCCCTTTCTTGTCCCATCGAACTCCTTTTCTCTCAAAACCCAAATGTTACTTTTTTGCCCCGATTCTCTCCCCCATCCCACTGCGGGGGAGCGAACGGCTGTCTGGTATTTAGCTGCCTGCTGGGTTAAACCACACCATCCCCACACGTCCCCGCCACATCCCCAGCTGTCCCCGATGTGTCCCTGACGCATCCCCGCGGTGTCCCCAGCCATCCCTGCCATGTCGCAAGGCATGTGTGGCAGCAGGTACACCCGGAAGCATCAGCGGCTGCACGTGAGGTCATGCTGGAGCCCCTCAAAGCGTGTGGCCATGGGTAAGGCCATGGGGGAGCAAGTTTACTTCTGAAGAGACTGTGGCTGCGGGCAAGGCCCCGCTGGAGCAGGTCTATCTCTGAAGGCATTGTGGCCATGGAGAAGGCCACGCTGGAACAGGTGCACCTCTAAGTGACCGTGGCTGTGGAGAAGTCCATGCCGCAGCAGGTACACCCCTGGAGAGACTGCGGCTCACAGACACGGCTCCATTGGAGCAGGTAAACCCCTAAGGGACTGCAGGCTGTGGAGAAGTCCAAGCCGGAGCAAGGGCAACGGGAGGAGCCCATTGCAGTGTTAAACCCAATGGTCTGGTGCAAAGGGGCCAGGGGTGGAGACTGGAATGGAAATACCTTTAAATTGTTGTGACCCGGGATCGCAGTTGCATGTTATGGGAATTACCATAGCAGGAACCACCTGAACCCCTGGAGGAGAAGCCTTACAAGAAGCAGTGGATCCAGCTGGGTCCCGGGGGCCTGGGGGAGCCACCCGGCCCGGCTGCAGGGTCTTGAGCGCTCGCCCTCTGGTTGTCACTGCTGCCATGGGAAGCGCATGGGACCATCATGTCCCTGGTCCTGCTGGCCACGCTGTTCCTGATACAAGCCAGGATGCTCTTGGCCTCCTTGGCACACTGCTGTGGCTGTGAGGCTCGACCCCATGTGGACATACGTCCACTGGATCGGGACCGGTAGGAGGAGACGCATCCTCAGCCCATCTGCTGCGCCGGGGGAATTGCTCGATGGCAGCCGCAGCAGAAATCTTCCTGGATGGGCCCTTTTTAGCCACTCTACTTCCCCACAGTTCTTGTACGGGGGCTTCCAGGACCGAGGCAGGCGCACCGTCCCGCTTCCTCGCGTCCTCCCCACGGTCACGCAGAGAGAACCCCACCAGGTGGCACGCGGGGTGGGCCCAGGGGCCCCGTCGGCTTGAGCAGGCTCCTGGTAGCCGAGATCACAGAAATCATAGAAATCATTGAATCGTCAAGGTTGGAAAAGACCCTTAAGATCATTGAGTCCAACCATTAACCTATCACTGCCAAGTCCATCTATACCATGTCCTCGAGCACCACACCTAGCCGTTCTTGAAATACCTCCAGGGATGGAGACTCACCCACTGCCCTGGGCAGCCTGGGCCAATGCTTGGCCACCCTTTCGGTGAAGACGTTTTTCCTAATGTCCAACCTAAACCTCCCCTGGCACAGCTTGAGGCCGTTCCCTCTCGTCCCATCGCTTGTTACTCGGGTAAAGAGACCGACCCCCACCTCGCTACAACGTCCTTTCAGGCAGTTGGTCTGAATAATATTGCCTTATTCAGGCAATTAGGTCTCCCCTCAGCCTCCTCTTCTCCAGGCTAAACAACCCCAGTTCCCTCAGCCGCTCCTCACAGGACTTGTGCTCCAGACCCTTCACCAGCTTTGTTGCCCTGCTCTGGCCACGCTCCAGCCCCTCCATGGCCGCCTTGGGGTGAGGGGCCCAACACTGAAC